TGCAAAGGGCATTGAGTCCATCTCTAAGAGTTGCCAAAATCCTAACAGTTTCACCATTGCGGAAACAAAGTCCCAAGTCTCCTCTGAGAATTGAGGCAAACTCTTAGCTGCAAGCCCCTGCACAGAAGAAAAGAAAGTTAAACACTTCCACTATTCAATGGCACAAGATGGACATTTCCATTTCTAAAGTTACAAACAGGGGGATACAAAGGAATGGGACCAAAGCATGTCCAAAAGCCAGCAGAGATAACATTAAGTCCTGTAGTTCCATGTGCAGCATCCGTGGCATTCTGTGGCAAGATGTGAACTCCAAAGGGCATGGGTGGCTCCGCCTCTATGGCACTGCTAGTGGTTATAGTTCCAGTGGCTTCTTTCTTTGGCTGGCTCTGCTGCCTCCTTGCAGCTTTTCGTGGATGATCCACAGTCCTAGCTTCTCCAAACTACTGATGTCTCCACTGCACCTTTGGCTTCACACTCACAGCTTCACACACAGCCCTGCCAGAGGCACACTGCCCGGCCTCCCAGGCCTTCTGAAATCTGGGTTGAAGCCTTCCTGACCTTCTTGCATTATGCATGGGCCTACAACTAGAACCTCATGGATGCTGCCAAGGTCTGTGGACAGCTCGGGCAGTAGCCAGGCTTCCTTCTCTCTTGCCTGTAGGGGTCAAGAGTTTATGAACCAAATCCCAATGAATGATAAATGTCTTCCCTAGGCTGCAGCCATTCTGTGCTCTGGAGCTCTTTTCTCAAAGCAAAGTCTTTCACTTTTGCAATTTTGAAGCTGCAAAGAGTGTATTCCTGGTGCTTCTTGTGACGCACCTCAGGCCACCTTTTCTAGTCTCCTGTTCCTTCTCAGCAATCAATATCTCCTTTGCTCTATCTTTACAGTCTACAGCTTTACTGGAACTTCTAATCTGGTCAAATTCAAAATGTTTTAAATCATTCTGCTGGGCTCTTTGCTCTTGATTCTCAACATAAATCTGGCTAAAAGCCCCCAATAGTAGCCATGCCATGGCCTCAACATTAGACTGCCTTGAAATTTCTTCTGCCAGATTAATTAATCCTCTGCCCTTAATCTCAATCTCAGGTAAAGTCTGTGGACACAAGCAAAATACAAAGTTTTTGCCATGACACAACACACATTGTCTGGAGTGTAGCAGCCGATGCAGTCATTCCTGGCAGAAACCTCCTGAGCCTGGTCTTTACTGGCTTCTGGGTCTTCTGAGCTCGGACCAGAATCTCCCATACAGTACAGCCTAAGGGGTTTTAGCTCTACTTTTTCAGTCAGCATCTCTGAACCTTTGCAAAGTCTTCCCACAAGCCATTCCTAAAAGCTGCTGAACCACATGGTCAGGTATAGTCACAGTAACATCTCCATTTTTCCGGTCTTAGTTGCTTTACTCCCCTTGCTGAGACAAAATATCCAACACCTAAAGTTAAAGAGGAAACGATTTATTTAGCTCACACTTTGTAGAGCTTGCAGTCCATAACTGGCTGGCTCGAAGGAAGAGCATTGCACTATGAATCAACTCCAGCGTCACATGAGGCTTTGGGAGACAACTAGACACAAGCCATAACACAGAGCATCCATAATAAGCAAATTTATTCAGAGGGAAAGGAGATTGGTAGTTGCTTGGGGCTGGTTTGGGTGCAAGCAGTGTAGGGTGATGTCTAAAGCATACAGGACTTCTTTTTTTGGGTTGGTGAAAGTCTTATACAATTATGACCCCATGATGGTTGAAAAAATGAATATACCAAACACAACTGAACTGTACACTCCAAATGAGTGAAATTGTGTGGTATGGGAATCATGTCTCAGCAAAGCCAGTATAATAATAAAAAAGTAGAAATAGATGAGAAGGGAAGTAGGTGAGACCAAAACAAGGCAGCAAAGGTGGCACCAGAGAGTCTGCCTGATCTCACTAGAGGATGATTAGACAGATGTTTCAGACAAGCTGGATCTTTGCTACTATTTTCAGAAGTGGAGGAAGATGCCCCTGCACTGGAATATTAAGCCTGTTCACATCAGGACTTCTGCAGGGATTTGCATCAACATCACAAATTAGCCTAGACCATTTCCCTAAGGCCTAAAGCAATTGGAATAGCCAGATGAATAGCTGTCATCTTCCTTGAGTAAATGTCCCACGCATTTTCTCTCCTTTTCATTCCCATCTTGATTATTTTTCATGAGAGCCAGTGTTTATGGGGAGACTGCATACTTGGCAAAGAGAGAGGCAGTAACAGAGTTCTTCATGAGTCCTGCTATGTAAATGTGACTCAGGCCTGATTATTTCTTATTCCATCCTTCACACTTCCAGATCCAAGCTTCTCTCTCATGTTTGTTCACTATATGTGTGAAATAATTATGGCCCGCTGTAGCATTTTTTTTCATTTTTCATTTAACCCTAAGCATTTAGGTATTTCTGGATATTAGCAGAAAAAAATAAGTGCAGAGTTTAGGGTTGACTTTGTGGGTATTGGATAGGAAATATTTACTTTTTTGACAAAGAGAAGCTGTATAAACATTAGATCAGTGTCAAATTAAAACTAGGACTTGATATTGAAGAAATACCACTTGGAGCCCTGAAATATGGATTAAGAATATTCTACAAATTTCACAGATGACAGTAATTCATTCAGAAGAACCACAAAACATGAGTTATAGCTTATGTTTGTCCCTTGTGTGAATTAAATATGTATTTTTATGCTTTTACAAAGATAGGCCAAAATAGAGGTGTGTAGTGCAGTTGGACTAGAACACAGTAAATCCTGTGTTAGCAGTATTTTTTAAACAAATGTCATTTTAAAACATCACTGTTTTTAAAAAGGTTACCCCTAGTAACTTTGTAAAATAACCAAATTAAGTCAACAATGATTTTTAAGCTTCACAAACTATTCAAACCAAATGGACATGGACTGGTTTTCACTCTCCCTACCCTAGCCTCTTCCCTACAGATGCAGTTAATTTTTATAATCCCTTCAGGGTCTGTAGGTTCCTTTTGATATAAGGAAACTAATGTTTCTTTCTACAGTTGAATCCAAATTAAATTCCTAAATTTTTCCCTACTGGCAATTTCTAATAAATTGCAATCCTGAGGAAACTTGACTAACGGAATGCAAATGAGACTCACATTTGTGCTGGAGTGTGATGGAAAGCCCGGAGGCAGAAGGGACAAGCCTTGGTGCTGGGAATGGGAAAACCTGGGTTCCAGCCTCTGGTTCTGCCATAATCCTACTGTGAGGGCCATTACCTTTCTCAGTTCAATTTCCTCATATGTAAAATGAGGGCACCACCACTAGATACTTGCTAAAAAGTCTCTTCCTGCTGTAAAGGTCTCTGTTCTGAAAGACAGGTCTGCACGGTTGGCCAAGTGAGCTACCACTGTGAGCTAATGCAGATTGCACAATTGAACTTTCTAGATCTCAGAGAATCTACCAGTGCCCTGCATTTTATTATCACAGGAATGTACCTGGGGTTTCTAATGTGCAAAATGGTAGTTACCAACATATAAGGCCAGGCGTAAGGACAAGGACAGGAAGGTTTCTAAGAGGAGGAGCAGACAAGCAGAAGAAATTACTTGAACCTGAAGACAGATGAGAAGCAGGTTCAGATCTTCATTGTAACTTACTTAATGAGGGCCTGAAACAGCTCCCCTCGTTTTAGGAGCCCTTAGTTTCCTCCTCCAGTGAAATTGAGAGTAGTTTCCCTGTTACAGGAACACAGTTGGGTTGGAAACAGCAAACAAAGAGCTCCAGGATAGAGAGGAGCTCCCCATAGCAACTTGGATGGGAGCGATGAACTGAATCATTTAGTGCCCCTCCCGCCCTTTTTCTTCTTTTTCTTCTCCACTGCAGGTTGAACCCAGGGCCTTCACGCTGAGATACAGCCCTAGAGTAATGTTTTTATAGACAGGGTCTCACTACATCACCCAATTGTTCAGGTGGGGCTCAAATTTACCATCTTTCCGCTTCAGCCTCCCAGAGTGCAGGGATTACAGGCGTGTACCACCACACCTGGCTGAGTTTGCTCTTTCTGTCGTTTCCCGGTCAGCTTTAGCTGCCATACATGTCAATGAAAGAGGGACTGCAAAAGATAGGCTATAGAAAGAAACCAAAGGCCTTTGGCTAATTGCTCAAAGAATAAATTGGTTTTGAGTGGCCAGTAGTTTTTATATCCTTCAGATGTGACAAATCTCATTATATCCCTGAGGAAAAAGCTGGGAAATCATCCTAACTTGTTACGAGTGGTGAGTCCTTGACTTGATCTTTGTAGTTCAATTTCTCAAAAGGAAGATGGGTTTTCATACTGATTGGACCAATTATCCTGTCCTCATCACTGTGAATAAACTCAGATTATTCAGAAAAATAATACGGTGATTAATTCCAGTTCCTGGCTCATGCATTTCTTTGTGGGTTCTGTAGTCCTTTTTTCCTTTGGAAAACAAGCCTGGAAGCGTAAAGATACATCAAATCATCAGGGGACAGACATATGCATTCCTGCAGCCTCTGCAGGGCTCACGGGTTCAAACACAACCTGCCTGAATTATAAGAAATTTAATTGAGTAGATAAAGAGGTCCTCATAATTATAAACTGCAGTAGGTATAACAAGAAGCTAAATACATAGCTGCGGTTTTAATTAGCTGGTGCTTCAAATTAGTAATGTTGGTTTCAGTGAGAAATCAGTGACGTTACGTGCTGAAAGCCTCATCACCATGTAGTTCATTCCTCATTAGACCTCACCGTGTGAAGCTTTCAATACAACGCCATGCTGAGCAAGAAAGGAAAAAGTTGGAGCTATTTGGTTGCCTTCCAAGAGCTGTGGAACTCCATTGAAAGTAAATTCATTCTCGCCAGAGATATGAGAATTAACTGTTCTTTGTTCAATGTGTTAAAAAAAATGCAGCAGGCAGTTTTGCTTGCAACAGATAACACCCCGTGCTCACTCAATCTGCTATTCAAATTTGCGTCTGGAATTCGGGAGCTCATGGACTGATCCAAAATGCAGCTGAGGGCCTGCGAACAAATCAAAGCCGTGTCTAAAGCCCCGGAAGTGCCCTTCCTGCTGGCCGCTTGCACGCTTGTCATGCAAGTTGAAGCGTGTTTCCTTTTCTTCTTCTTTTTTTTCCTTCAGGGTTTTAATTATATCTTTCCCTCCGAGGAGAGGGAAGGTAGTTTGCAAAGCCAAGAGACCAAAGCACTTCAGTTCTCTTCACGGGAGAATTAAATGTGATCTATGGGCCTGTTATTTGGAGCTGTCAGGTGCATGAAATGAACAGATAGCTAGGAAACTGACATCTTGCTCACATTCCTGGGAAGCAAAAGACTTTGGTTCTTGTTTGTGTGTGGGGAATCATCTGCCCTGGAAGGCAAAGGCATTAAGTATCCTTCTGCTCCTTGCCCCTCCCTTGCTGAGTGGTACTTTGACATGTTACTCCACCCCCTCCTCTGATACTCTATCTTTCCTACATTCAGACAAGTTGATGGACTTGGACTACCTTTGGCTGATAATGTGGTACTTAGGTGCGATATCATGTTCCACGCTTAATGGACTGAAGATGTGACTTTCCTGCTCCAATCCACATCAGCCTCTAATACAAAGATGCTGGGCACGCAGCGGCTACAATTCGGGGCTCTGATCTCAACTCGCGAATGAAGTGAAAGGTGATTCTAGAAAACATAACCCCGTTGGAGGGCCTCTGAGACTACAAATGACAAGGCCGCCTTCCAGGACTTGCACTTGGCTAGGGCCCAGATGTCAAGTTGGAGATTTGGGTGGGGAGGTGTCTGGAGCTTTCCTTTGCTTTCCTCATAGAGGGCTAATATTTATATGACGTATTCAAGAGTGGTCTATAAGGACTTGTGTGTCTAGCATCATCTGTACCGTGAAAGTGGCTTGCACTTAAATACCCTAAAGTGCTACCATTATGTTAAAATGAACAAGTGGAAGCTGTTTATCCAGAAGTTATGGCTGCCACTGATGCTCTGAATTTGACAATTCAAGGATTCCTGTGAAGAAAGTGGACGATTTAATACAGTGACATCCTATCATCCGTGGATGCCAACATCTAGTTAAGCTGCATAGATAGTTCACACTGTAGGCTCTTATTTTGTAACTTAAAGTTCTGATACCCATAAGTGAACTAGCCTACCAATGATAGGCAATAAGGTTTGAAACATACTCAAAACCTGTTGACTATTCTTTCATATCAGTATACCTCTAGTGATTCCTTTAGCTATTATGTTCATCTCCGTGGCAATTATCTAATTAAGTCTCATGGTAATATTAACATGAAGTAGGAAATCAGCATTTATACTGCACCTGCTAAGTGTTTCACATACGTTGATTTAAGATCGCTCAGCATATATGTACTCCCTTTGGATAAAGTTTATATCAAAAGCAGCGAGAAAAACCAGTGAACAAACCAAAACACACTGCATGTTAAATATCCCTTATGTGTGGTGCTTGTGACTCGGAGTGTTTGAGATTTCACATGTTTTTGTTTGCAAACTTTGGAATATTTGGATATCCACAATGAGATAATGTAGGGCTGGGACCCAAGTCTAAACACGAAATGTATTTCTGTTGCATATTAACCATACGCACATAGCCTGAAGGTAATTTCGTGCAATATTTTCCATGTACCTGTAGTTTGACTGAGACCTTTCACATGAAATTAGGTGTGGAATTTTTTACTTGGAGCATATCAGCACTTAAAAGGTTTTGGATTTGGAGCATCTTGAATTTCAGATGTTTTCAGATTATGGTTTAATTTTCAGTCTTGTGTGAGGAAGACAATGGTTTTCTTTATAAAGAAACGTTCCCTTCCGTCATTCCTGTGGTCACAGAATTTATCAAAAATGTTATCTAGAACCTTCTGATCCAACCCTGGGAAAGCCTGCAATAAGGTGAGTCACGGAGTTAGTGTTCCTGAAAAGTTTATGCACTAAGGTCATTCAAAGGTTTAGACGCAGGCTTTCTTTCATTGCTAGTTAATACTTTATTGTTTAAGGTAGACCCCTTTCTTCAGGATAAAAGTCTCTAACAGGCTTCCAGTCACTTATGAAATAAACTACAGAATGACCAAACAACAGTGACCAAACCCAAAGGAATGTGCGTATTTAGGTTATTTTCTTTTTTGTGTGTACATCCACAAAAGAGAGTTTAACATTTTTAAACCCCTTCGTGATTTACTAAAAGAGGCAAACTGTTCCTATGAGTTTGGGACAGTATTCCTGTTTATCTGGAGCTCCGAACTTTGATAATTCCTTCACCTTGGGGTCTTTGGCATCTGTGGATGCTGAGCCTTAGGCAGTTGGCAACGCAGTGTGATTTAATTCAGTACTTATCCACATGGTGGAATGACTTTGAGGGTGTATGCAATTGCTTGTGTTAATCAAATAAGGATAAAGAAATAGAATTCTGCCATTCTGGTGTTGTTGTGAGTATAATTTCCAATAAGCAAATTTCTGATTTTTTTCTTTATCTTCAAGAACTATTCAGGATCTTAAAAAAAAGAGAGAGAGAGAGAGATTCTCTCCTCTTCCCTGCCTGCAGTATCAACTTGATCAGTGTTGACTTACATTTTTCTTTTCTTATTAATGACAAGGTAGATCTGGATAATTCACATGACTAATCATTGTTATCTCTTTTTGTCTTCTCCTTTTCATGGCAGTCACTATGAACAAGACCGTAGTGCACTTAAAAAAAGGGAATGGGAGCGGAGGAATCAAGAAGTTCAGCAAGAAGATGACCTCTTTTCTTCCGGCTTTGATCTTTTTGGGGAGCCCTACAAGGTAGCTGAATATGTATGTAATTTATCTTTCTGGAAACTTATTGCTTGTTTTGATTTTGAACTCACAAATCACCATTTAACTTATTTTTAAAGCACGTAAGTCAATTCCAAGAGAATATATCTTACAAGTGAGTATATGCATGCACTGTATTTGGGGCAATTTCAGCTTTCTGAGAAAGTCTTCCAGAACAAAGCCCGTCTTCTTTGGGAAGCACAGTAAGATTGGAAAGAGACTTGTGAGACTTGCTATTTCTAAGGAGCCCCTTACTGCCCCAAACTTGTTCCAGCAAGGAATGCCCCCTCCCTGAACCTTCCAGGGCTTCTATGATGAACTGGGTTGGCCCTGAAGATTCTAGCAGGATATATGCCCATTTCTCTTCCCAGTCAGTGGCACCCATTGCAAGGCCACTGCTTTTTTCCCTCCATTTGGGATTGTTAACAGCTGTTCAGTGGTTTGAGTGCCCTTTGAAAAATCACTGTGGTAAGGGCCGGGGATTTAGCTCAGTGGTTCTGGCACCTGCCTCGCAAGCACAAGGACCTGAGTTCAATCCCCTGTATCACCAAAAGAAAAAAAAAATCAGAGCAGTAAGACAAAGGAAAAAGCTGATTATTTTTCCGGGTGGTAACAATCATGGGTGAAAAGACTGCCTCCACCAGAGGGGGTAGTATGGTTAGGCTGATTTTCTATTGGTATTCTAGCTAGTGTATCGCTCCAGTAACAATCAAACGATTTTACAGTGAGTGTCTATGAACTTTCTATATGAGGTGGAATTAAGGGTGAATCGGAAGAGCTTATGACAGAAGAATCATTGAATTACTGGCAGCTGGTTGGTTTTTAAAAATTTTATTAGCAATATAATTTTGTATAATAAAATCAAACGGATACAAGAAATAAAACAGCAATAGTGAAAATTTTCAAAAGTTGTGATTTTAGAACATTGTTTAAAAGACAATGACTTCTAGAAAAGGAACAGTCTTAACAAAGACAGAATAGGTCCGGATACTGTACTATATAGTTCGGGGGTAAAGAGTATGCTGCTTGTCTTGGTGGCTAGTGACACCAGAGTCTTGTTCCCTTCTTCAAAACAAGTAAAGAGTTCTTGTTGACACCTCTGTGTACTTTTCATGTCTGCTAATCCTGAGAAACAGACTAAAGCCACCTAAACTACTGATTTCCAATCTGTCACTAATAGTATAATTCATTTAAAAAGCATTTTCCTATCTTCATTGATTCAATTAATATACTGCCTTTGAATGTGTGCATTTAGATGTATGATTAATGTAACCAACATTTTTGAAGGCCTACTATGTACTAGCCACTCTGCTAGATAAGTATGCATAGGGGGGTAAAACATAGTCCCTGCCTTCAAGGAAGTGTTAGTCCGATGGCAGAGATCATCGTGAATGAATAATGACATGACTGCATGGTGACTGTGAGAGAGATAGGCAGGAGAAAGACTGTGTACCTCAATCCAAAGACTATGAACATGATTCTTGGCATAGAGGAAAGTCATTACAAGGTTTTAAATTAGGGCATAACCCTAACAGGACAGATAGACAATTTAGAAAGATGGTATTGGGCAGTGTTGAGAGTAGATGGGAGGGAGGAGAAACTAGAGGAAGATTAAGAAGCTATTATATTTGCTAAGGGAAGCTTATGGCAGGAAAGATTTAAGGCAGAGTATTGAAGTTGGAATGATGGGATTGTGTGTCTAATTGGATGTGGAAGTAAGTATGGGGTAGTTTTTTGACTTCAGAGGTTGGTGGTATCATTAACAAGTTGCTCAGGACACCAGGATTTGCTGCATATAGAAAGAATAATTGATACAGCTTGGCGAATGTTGTATTTGAGATGTCAGTGGACTATCAAGGGTAAGACATCCATTAAGTATCAGATATATGACTCTGGGGCTCATCAGAGTAGTCAAAAGAAAGATTTAGCTATTATGTTCATGTAGTTGGCAGTGGAAGCTCTGAGAATGTGTACCACCCCCAAGTTAGAACAGTGAGTGTTAAGAAGGCTGGAGAATTCTGGGGAGTGGCAGAATTTAGAGTGTAAAAGTGGTGGTGAGAGCAGAGATAAGGAAGGTAAACTGAAAAGGAATCATCAAGTAGGTAGAAAAGGGAGTAGGAAAGAAACATTTAATAGAAACTAAGGGAGCAGATGATTTTATGGGAAAATCATTTGCCATATTCTTCAGTGATATTGGGAAAGGTAAAGACTGTAAAATGGCTATTGAATTTGGCAGTTAAGGAGTAATTGGTGACTTTAGGAAGAGTTGTTTTTTGTTGATGTTGGTGGTCCTTATGGGAAACCAAACTTCCTGGGCTTGGAGAGGAAACAGGAAGTGGTTAAGGAAAGAAAGAGAGCAGTTGATCTTGCAGTGAGATTTTGCATGGAGGAAGGAAAGAAGGAGGGAAGGGGAGATTAGAAGTTAAAGTGAGTAATTAAATGGAGGGAAGTGGTTTTCTTAAGTTAGAAAAACATGAGCATATCTAGAGATTAATGGGAAGAAACCAAGGTCACTGGAGAAGGAGAAGATGGAAGATATAGGGGAGAAAGGCAAAGTTGAGTGGAACAACATCCCAGAGGAAATTTTTGAAAATCCAAGACAGAGAACAGCAAACAAATCATGAGCAGGTGGGAGTAAGATGGGCATGGAACACTGGAATGAGAAGAAAGCAAGAGAATGGAAGGAAGATTGATGGTAGAACAGGAAATTGTAGCCTCTATTTTTGGTGAAGTGTTCAAAAGATAAGTTCATATCATGCCTCTTCTTGAAATGAAGGAGGAACAACCTCATGAATTGTACTTCCTATCTTTGAATGTGTTAGAACTCTATTCAAAGAATGTGTTCTTTAATATCTGTATACACCCTGTCTTCTACATAATTATGAGTTGAAGAACCCTTGTTTTATTCTCCATTTGTAACTTTTAATCAGTCAATTAATTGTCTTTTACCTTTAAGATAATTACCATCTGCATATTTATCTTTGGATGTTAGCAGTGTATTTTTGAGAAAGCAGTTGAAAAAAGAAACTATTCTCTGCATGTTTGAAGTTTTTAAAAGCCATCTGTCTCTGCACTACAAGGGTACATCAGGTACAGACACAGATGGGAACATTTAGTCTTGTGCAGGGCCAGCCTGGTATGTGATTAATAGTTTATTGCCTTTGTTCTTGAGTCAGAACTATGAAAGAAAGGGATCGCACTACCATTTGGTAAACTAGTAGCTCTTTTTTTTTCATCCTTGTTTTGATGATCAGTTGGCGTCTTGTGTTGTATCTGTGTTCAATTTTCCTTGGAAGATCACTGAGGAACCTTCCTCTTTTGTCCATCATTTTGTGACCCTAAAATTGATGCGGACCTCCAAAGTCTCCACAGAAAGAGAGGGAGCCGGATGATCTTGGGATGTGTGGCTGTTAGTGGCGATGGGATTTCTAGGCTGACTCAACCCATTTGTAGATAAGAGAACATAACACAACTCTTCCTTAGGATTATAGTGGGATTCTTAGGAAATTGAAGATCAAACTTCCCGGTAGTGGATCAGGACTTTCAGGAAATTTCTTGCTACACTAAAGCCTAAAACATTGTCTGATCATTTATCCAATAGCATGAGCGCTTCCTAACCAGCCCGGGTGAACTCCAGCATCTAAGACCAATGAACCTTCTTGAGCTAAAAGAAGAAATGATGATCTCTTTTGTATTCCTTCTTGTTTTCTTCCTGTTCTTGCTTCACCTGTACTATACTCAGAATGAAAATAAAGTTGACCCCTCTCAGATTTAGTTGTTGGTGGGAAACTTCTTTCTCTGGGGCTGCTTTCCTAGCTTATTACTTTGACATTGGAGTTTGTGCTATGCTATTGAGAAAGATATCTTCAAAAATGCCTAAGAAAGATGAAGTCATTTGATCTGTGTAGGTGAGCATGGCAAAACTAGTGAGGCTCTGGCCTGTACCCTCTGTGTGCAAGGCACCATGCTAGGGCTTTATGTCTGTGCTTGCTTGCTCTTTATAACAAGTGCGATACATGTTTTTCACATACTTCTCTTGAGGAATTTTAATTCAGAGGAGTAAGGTGGTGTCTCCGCCTTTATATCCTTATACATTGTGTTTTTAGACTTTGCACCCCCTACTTTGTGATTCTGTATGTATAACAGGAAGATGTTTATGCTCTGACAGGAAGTCAAAAAACTTGCTAAGCTTATCTGCTAGGTGATTGTGGGGAAGAAACTTTGTTTTTCTGTCCCATAGTTTCCTGCTTTTTGAGATAAATCCTAACAATAATAATACTTAACATTTTTCAGCTTGTTACAGCTCCATGAGAATGAGGAAACTGATGAGAAGAGAGGTGTCAGTGGCTTATCCGATGCCATTTGTGCTAGGACAGGCAGAATCCAGATGGAGCCAGAGCTACTGTGTTGACTCACATGGTTGTTGGAAGGATTGAATGAAACAACCTGAAAAATCTTGCTCTGAACTCTCTAAAGTGCTGTACAAATTCAAGGCATTTTCACTTGTATAATTAGAATAGAGCAAGAAATAACAATGTATAGCTTAGTTTATCTATGAAAATATTAGGACAAGAATAAAAGAATTACCAATACTTTAGAAGCAATGCAAAAGAACCTTAAAACCTCATTTATTTTGCTTCTTTTATTAAAAAGGGATACTATGGTACACTAACCTCCTAGCACACTAGTCTGACGATGAAATTATACTGCTTATTTGTAGATAACATTAGAAGCAAACTGAGGGAAGTTCGCTTTTCCTAAAGTAATGAAAGGCAAAAAGCTTAAATGAAGGAGTGCTGTTAGTCATGAGCCACAAACCAGACATGTAATTTATGCCTGAAAAAAATTGGAAAATGCATTTCCTTGAGGATGGAGGAATCGTGATTACTTACAAAATAATGGCTGCAGAGGTGACCTTTAAGGAATCAACCAATTATCTCGAATGGGAAATAAAGAATTGGCCAAATTGAGAGAAGTCAATAATTGATTGAAGTGACTAAATTTCATTTCTGCCATGTTTCTAAATGTTCGATCGAGACTGCCAAGAACACCCTGCTCCTTAATAGGATTACTAAGACTCTGGAGGGTAAAAAGGAACATTTAGTGTGAATCAGAAGTTGCTATGGTATATAATGAGAGCACAATGAGTAGGTGTCTATCAGTGTACCTCAGGCCCCATTGGGTTTTCTGTCCAGTGGATCTCATATCTACATCTTGAGAAATTTAAAAACCGGTTGATAATTGCCCATCTCCAGTCATGGACAGACAGAGAGTTTACTCTGGCAGCCTGTGCTGGACATTACGTGGTGATCATTGACTGACGGACATGAAGCTCTATGTCTGTATGTCCTCTTGCCTGGCCTTTCCTCTTGCATGTTCGGAATTTACCCATATGTTTTGAGGATGACCATAGCAATTTGGACCTGTAGTCACAGCACACCTGTTATGCAAAATCATTTGGATCTTTCTTCAATCAGCAAATCAAAGTGTCACCAGTGAACTCGGCTTTGAATTGTCTGCTCGGTCTAAGGGAGATGCCAGGCCTCCATTCCTACGGGCTACCCCAACTCCACCCCTATGTCATAGTGCTGGAGCAAGCCACACACCTGGAATTTACTGGCTTAGATACTCTGCCTCCACATGCCACTCTGCCTTGGCAGAGTTAGACTTCAGTGTGATGCTTCTGGCTTATAGTCCTTATGAGGAAAAGCTACACAGAAGCATCCTTGCATCTTCTAGAAAACAGGTTCTAAAACATGATGTATGTCATTGCTCAGAGTCTCTTGTAAATGAGCCAATACAGAAATTCTTTTTCACATTTTAATATCACCTAGGAATTTGTCTTATTTAATGAATAGAGACATGCATTTTTCATCAGCTAAAGATAAGTCTTTCGCCCAGGAACTTTTCCTTTTGGCTTTAGCTACCAGGAAGCTCAAATTTCAATGTGATGGTCAGTCAACCAAATCAACAATCGTTGCCTTTCTATGTACATTTTTCTCTAGGCCTTTGCAGATTATTTAATCGGACACAGGCAGGATATGGATTATAGTTTGTTTCTGTAATATTAAGCAACAATTTATTGGATACTTTATATGAATTAGGCGTTGTGCTAAGTCTTGGGTAAACTGACTAAAAAGTGATGTTTGACCTTTGACAGTTACAGTTTTATTCTGTGAAAGAAATTTTAGTATATATGTA